TTACACATTTTACTTTCTCTCTACTTTTCCTTACATTTTATAAGCCTCTCTGTTTAGTCTGCTCCTCCTTCATCTGTCATGTTGACCATAGTTGCTTAACTGTACACCTGGAGACTTTGCCTTTTAGTTGTCTATACTAGGCTCACTTGAAGCAAATAATTCTTTGAATACTTCCCACCGTTTGTCTGCAAGTTTCCCCATTAACACCCGAGTCCGTATGACATTGACCAAAGGAATTTTCATTTCTTCAAAGTTTGCCTTACTTAACGTTAATACCTTGATACTTAACTCTCCCTTCCCCTTTTCAAATGTAGCATCATTCAATCACAGTCATATAGCATAAACACTGGCCTTTCGGCCCACCATGTCTATGCCAACCTTCAAACACCAAACTACATTAATCCCATTTACATCCACTTGGTCCATAGCCTATTATGTCCTGGCATTTTAAGTGCTCAACCAGACACTTCTTAAATGTTAAGAGTACCTGCCTCCAAAACCCTCTCAGGCAGCACATATATCTACTACCCTCTGTGTGAAAACTTTTTCTCAGATCTAAACCACTTGTTCCTAACCTTAAACTGATGTCCCTAGTCTTAGACATGTCTACCATATGGAAGATTGTCATGATCTATTCCATCTCTGCCTCTCATTATTTTGTAAACATCAGTCAGATTCCCCCCAGCCTCCTCTGCTCTAAGGAAAGCAAACCCAGCCTATCCAGAGATAGTAAGAACTGCCAATGCTGGAGTCTGAGACAACAAGGTGTGGAGCTAGAGGAACACAGCAGGCCAGGCAGTATCAGAGGAGCAGGAAAGCTGACGTTTCGGGTCCTCTGATGCTGCCTGGCCTGCTGTGTTCATCCAGCTCTACACCTTGTTATCCCAGCCTATCCAGTCTCTCCTCAGAACGGAGACATTCCATGCCAGGCAACATCCTGGAAAAGCTCCTCTTCACCCTCTCCAGTGCAATCACATCCTTCTGATAGAGTGGCAACCAGAACTGCACACAATACTCGATCTGTGGCCTGACCAATGTTTTATAAAGTTGTAATGGACTTCATTGCTCCAATATACGACACCTCAACTAATCAGGCAAATAATCCGAATGCCACCTTCACACCATGACACCTTCAATGCTCTATGGACTTGTACACCAAGGTCTCTTTGTTCATTATTGATAAGAAAATGATTCTGAACACTTCTTAGACTTGCATTTCCCTTACTATTTCAGCTGTATTACTTAGCCCAGGCCATGTAAAAAACAAAATCTGTCAATATAATCATTGTTTTTGTTATGTGTTTTTTATTTAATCTCAGTACTTATACATTTCTCAACTGGGCGGGATGGTGGCTCAGTGGTTAGCACTGCTGCCTCACAGCGCCATGGACCAGAGTTCAATTCCACCCTCGGGTGACTGTCTGTGAGGAGTTTGCACATTCTCCCCGTGTCTGTGTGGGTTTCCTCCGAGGTGCTCCGGTTTCCTCCCACAGTCCAAAAGATATGCAGGCTAGGTGGATTGGCCATGCTATAGTGCCCATAATGTTCAGGGAGGTGTAGATTAGGTGGGTTATAGGGGGATGGATGCTCTGAGGTTCAGTGTAGACTTGTTGGGCTGAAGGGCCTGTTTCCACACTGTAGGGATTCTATTCTATTCTATCTCACTATTATCAGGTGACGTGTAGACGACACTTACCGATGAGTCTTGCATCAACAGCCAACCTTACCAATGACACTCTTATCCCATGAATAAACAAAGAAACCAAATAAAGAGCTCCTGTTAGAAGGCTGTGGGTTCAATCCCCATTTCTGGCACTGGAACCCAATCTCTTGATTAGTTTAATTGATCAGTCATCTCAGGAATGACCTTCATTTGTGACAATCATTCTGGTTGAAATAAAATTCACAGCGATCAAGTACATGATGAAATAAATTTCAAATACATAAAGTTTCCATTAGAAATGGGATTATGCCAGAAGAATGTACAGTGGCCACAGTAATACCCATTTTCAAATGGACAGACTATGCCAAACAGGGTCCAAATCGACAGCTTTGCTCAGTCTGTAAACATGGCCCTGATCTTCCAGTCACTCGTCATTTCACTACACCACCTTGCTCTCATGCTCACATGTCTGACCTATGTCCTACTGAAGTTCCCCAGCGAAGCCCAGCACAAGTTGGAGGCACATCATTTCATTTTGTTTTGGCACTTCACAGCCTTCAGGACTCAACATTGAGTTCAATAACTTCAGACCAAGAACACTCTCTTCCATTTTGGTACTTTGTTTTTCTTCATTGCTATAACTTGTTTCATGCTTTTGCTTTCAATTACAGCTGACAAAATCACCTCTTAACACCTTCTCTGGACCTATGTTCTGTATATTCTCTACAAATCGTAACACTCCCCTTGTCTTTTGTTCTTTTGGACTCCAATCTTCCTCTCATTTTTCCCTAACCTTCCCCTCTGTTCCATTGACTCTGCACCCTGTGCCCCCATTCCCAGCCCCTAGAACATAAATTCCATTACATTTCTATCCCTCTTCAGTTCCAAAGAATCATATTGAATTATTAACTGTTTCATATATGCTGTCAGACCTGCTGAGTTTCTCCAGCAATTTCTGATTTTATGTTAATTACAGATCAGTACATTGAACACTTTTGTTTGGTAAAATGTTTGCACTTTTTATGAAATATGAAATTACAAAATGCCAAGCTAAAGAACAAATACAGATTTTGATAGGCGGATGGATGTTGCACCATTATTTAAAAAGGCGTCACTTAGAAAAGGAATGGGTTAATCAGTCCTATGCAGCATCGTTTTGTTAAGGGGTCATGCCTTACTAACTTAGTTGAATTTTCCGAGGAATCAAGGAGGATTGCTGAGAGTAGTTCAGTGGATGTTGGCTACATGGCTACATAAGGCATTTGACACAGTCCCATAAAGCAGATTGATCAGAAAAGTAAAGCCAAATAGAATAGAAAGCAATGTGGTGAATTGTGAAAAGATTGAATAGGCTAGTGTCGTTTTCCTTAGAGAAGGCTGAGGAGTGACTTAATTGAGGTGTAAAAAGTTCTGAGGGGGGCATAGGCAGAATAGAGAGGACCTGTTACCTCTAGTGGAGAAGTGAATTACTGGGCCACAGATTTAAGGTGCTTGGTAGAAGGTTTAAATGGGAATTAAGAAAGCACATTTTTACCCAGAGGGTGGTTGGTATTTGAAATTCAGTGCCTGGTTTAGTAATTGAAGCAGAAACCCTCAACTATTTAAAATGTGCTAAGGTCTTTACCTGGCCCGATTAGATGGGAAGGTTGATTTGTTTATTTTTAACACCTCAGCCAGTGCAGATGTGATGGGCCAATGGCCCCTTTCCATGCCATAACTTTTCTATGGTGCTAGGGATTATATTTTATCAATCCGCTAAAGTTCCTGGAGGGTGATATTGACAGAAATATTTGGGGGAAAACAGTGCCAAGTAGGATTTCATGAAGCATTAGACAAGGTACCACACTGGATATCAGTGCAGAAGATTAAAAGTTTATGGAATTTGGGAGCAAACTAAAATAAAAATAGATTCAAGGGAAAGGAACAGAGAATCAGAATTGAGGACAGTTTTCCAGAGTGTTTGAACGCATATTCCATTGTGCTGCAGTGTTTTGTTCAGGACCCTTTTGTTTACTGTGTACATCAACAGTTTGCATACAGGGCTACAGGAATTAGTATCTATATTTGTAGGTGATTTAAATAGGAAGCATTGTAAATAATTCTGATCAAAGGAAATTGAAAGGGCATGATGATAGAATAAGCAAATATGAAGCAGGTGGAAACTATTTCAACCAATACGAAGTGATACATTTTGGTTTAAAAGTCATAATTACACTTTGAATGGGGTAAAGCTCAGTGCTATAGGATAAACAAGTTGAGAAGGAAAGGTGAATCCAGCTATAATACCTAAAGGCAGAATGCTGATGCACTAAAAGATGGTACAGCACAGTTTCACTTAGATGCCGTCCTGGTTCGAGAAACAGAAAGAGCAAGTAGTAAAGTTGAGACAGTTTCTGAAAACACAACTCGCTGCTGCAGAAAGGCGGCCAACATCATCAAAGACACATCACACCCTGGTAATGATCTCCTACAACCTCTTCCATTAGGCAGAAGGTACAGAAGCCTGAACACATGCACAAGTTCAGGAATAGCTTTTTTCCAGCTGTACATCCTTTGCTTGCTGTGATGTGCCTGTACCGCTCGTAAACAAAGCTTTTCACTGTATTTCGGTACACGTGACAATAAAATCAATCAATCCAAAAAAAAAAATCAAAATCAATCAACCATTAGAGCAGAGAGCATGATGACTTTTAATTTCCCCAGAGCTGAGAGACTGTGGATTGCACATTCAATGGCTGTGGTACAGGCCATTTCGATGTGCTAGAATAGAATGGATGGGCAGTTAAAGAAAAGGTCAGTGGATGTATGGGAAAACAAACATATTTAGAATTAGTTCCAGGGCACATTTGGGAGATAAAGTGAAAAACAGGCTGGTTAGGCCAAACAACTCATTTCTGTATAATCTGCAACAGCTCGCTTCCATTCAGCACACCGCTCCATATTCTAAGGTACAAGCTGTAATTTCCCTGTTGCTTTTGAATTGGCCACAGAAAGGTATAAAACCCAATAGTAAAGTCATGTCAAGACTAATTTCCTCTCCTTTTGTGATCCTGCAAAAACACATATCTAATTTTCACAATCACTCTCTATTCCTGGAAATACTGCAGTGTCAATGGAGAATTCGCCTGTTAGGAAACAATAGCAACTGCCCATTCTGCTAATCCACTGCAAAACAATACAACTGGTTTACTGTACAATAGCTTGATAGGCTTTTAAATAATCCACTTTTACATCTCCATTTGAACAATGACATCATTTTTCAGGTATTAACAGGAATTACACACAGCTCTATGTCTTCAATACACACGACTTTATTTTAGAATTACAAGATACTCACTCATATCCATAAATAGCTGCCTCTTCTCGGCCATAGTCTTTCCTCTTCTCCCACACTCCTCAATCATCCTAGTGAAGGAAAAATAAGTAACTGTTTGAAGTAGCATATTAGCAGATTCTGAAAATAAGATTTTTTTCACGAATATCATCTATCTGTATCTTATGTATCTTCAGGTATGCCACTGGAGCTCTTCCCAGCTAGAACCACTAGAGAAAAAAAATACCCTTACTTATTGTCCTTAACCTAGGTAAAAGTGCACAAGCCATACACTTCAAATCAAAACACAAACTTTATGGTTAGCAAATTAATGTGTCAGCCTCTGGCTACAGGAAAAATGACTGTAGTCATTTTGGGTGGGTGCAATCCAATGGAAAGTGTCCTTTGATACAGTTCACCAATCTAGAAGGCAGATAAACTGAACCAACTGTAACAGCTTCACATCAATACTCACTCAACTTCACCAAGAAGCTAGTTGCTCGTAATTCAATTATTTGCTTCATATCCTAGTTCAGTGATGTTTAAATGGAAATGTTCAAATTATTGACAAAAATATCATATCAAAACATTGAGTCTCAAACAAGAAGACAACAGAAGCAAAAATAAGCCATTTAGCACTTTGAGCCAGAATTCAATAATAATCAGTGCTGATCTATGACCTAACTCCAAAATCCCACATCTGCTCCCCTGTCCCTCAATAGCTTTCGATAACTACGATCTATCAATCTCAGCTTTCAAATCAACAATTGATTTTTTTTGTTTTATTCATTCACAGTCTGAGGGCATTGTTGGCTAGGCCATTATTTATTGCCCATTCCTAATTTCCCAGAGAGCAGTTAAGAGTCAATCACATTGCTGTGGGTCTGGAGTCACATGTAGGCCAGACCAGGTAAGGGTCGCAGTTTTCTTCCAGAAACAGCAGCAGTGAGCCAGGTGGATTTTTCCTGACAGATGACAATGGTTTTATGGTCGTCATTCGGCTCTTAATTCCAGATTTTAGGATTGGCGCAACACAAATAGATTAAAACACAAAACAATGAGCTATCCTCAACCAACAGACTCTGTTCTACCCACCACTCAAATTTATAAATCTGCTTCGATGTGGATCTTGTACAATGACATACCTTTGCTTTAATATCCACACTACAGCTGATCAGCTTTTAGTTGCTTGCTGCAGAGCTAGTGGGTCAAAATCACACATTAATAAGAAAAGCTGCAACGCTATACAAAATTCAAACCAATCTCTAAAGCTGGACCAGATAGCACAAGGGAAATATTACTTTCAAAAGCAAAGCAACATTTTTGTGAAAATAATTGGAGTTTTAATGTAAGCTCACTGATGGGACATACATCGTGTCCAATCTTATATTTTAAGCAAGTATTTCAATTGGATCAGTATTTTCATGTTGATGTTTGCAGAATTAGAGAAACAGAGCTTCAGTGAGTTAAATTCACTTTCAAATACATTGTACTAATATAATATCTTATTTTTAATTTACCTGTGCTAAAATCTTAAGCTCATCTCCTATAACATCAGACATTAAAGTACTGGCAACTTAATGGCAAATACATTAATTCAACTAGATACCTGAATGAACCCTGTACAAGAAAACAGAACAGGAAGGTCTCCCACAGCTGTTCTCATACTTATTGCATTCTTCAAATAAAAGCAAGCTAACTGTGCAGTCTAGATTAAGCCCAATGATTGATGGAAGTTCAACGTTAGAAATTAATAGTGAAAGGTAGAGCAGATCCACTTCAATGTTATCGCATACACCATGCCACTCTTGTTCCCACATGTTACTGAAAATCAGTGTTTGCGGTTCCAACCTTTACGTTCACAAACCAAAATAAAAGGAAAATGAGTAACTTACTCAGCAACTTTACTAAAAGTTGTGCCAGAATGTGTTCTAAGTATACAAGTTTGACCCACGTAAGAAAATCTAACTTTTGTTATAGTATTATAAAGAGAGTTACACACCATAATAACATTGCTGCTATTAAATGCATAAGAAAGAAAAAGGTTCACTAAGTGAAGAAAATGATCAAGAAGTTTTAGATATCTAGAGTCTTCATGGTACAGATGGCAACAATCTGGCCAGTGGTAGATATCCTCAGAGCAGTCCAGTCAGTCCCACTCCCCAACATGATCTCCACGATCCTGCAAGTTTATTTCCTTCAACTGCACATCTGATTTTCTTTTAAAATTCAAGATTGCTTCTGCATCCACCATCCTAACAGGCAGAGGTCTACATCATCACCATTCCCTGTATGAAAATAAGTTCATGTCCCCAGCACTTCTTGACCAAGATCTTAAATCTGTAGACCTAGACCTTGTCCCATCACAATGGGCTGCATTTTCCATCATCTACATCTCCAAACATTCTTCATAGAGATGACATTCACAGAAATTAGGTCAGTGTCTCATTCTGGACTTCGCAAAAGAGTTCAGCTCTGCGGCAGACTGGGAGGATAGTGGGAATACTGAACATAAAGTGAAAGACCAATGAGATGCAAAATGCAGAATACTAGCATAAGAATTTATCAGGAAGTGCTAAAGATGGCGAGACAGATGGCATCAATAGTTTGTGTCTCACAGCTATAAATATCAAGTGTGGCTGAGGCTGTGAAAGCATTGCAATAATGGAAACAGCAATACAATATTTTTAAAATGCAAGTGTAGAACTTTACAAGCTTTGATTAATTGTAGAGCCTTTGAGGCAATGTCATCCTACTTACACTACTGAAGGATCATTGATCATGAACAATGGATATCGATTAATAAAATCAACTTTGAGATAAAACGGCTATAAATACCAGAAACAGTGGGCTGGTGAGACTGTGAAATGAAGACAGAGTAACTACTAGGTAGGCTTCAGAAATGAAGGAGGATCCACTTCCAAACCTATATATTACACAAATAATCAGAATGTAAACACTAATGTACTATGTTTCACAGATATTTTGATGCCCTACTTATAATACAGAAAGTATTTCTGTTACATACATATATCATAGATTCAAACTCTAAGAGGTACGGACAGAGGAAATAAGGAGAAAATGTTCTCACTCTCAAAAGGACCAAGAACAAAAGGGCACAGATTTTAATGTAATTAGTAAAAGGAGGGAGAAAGTTATGAGGAAAAACTTCTTCAGTGAATGATCAGAGCTTACATTGCACGACCAGAAAATGCAGCGGAGGTAGGTTCAATGAAAAGGAAATGGGACGACTATCTGAAAATAGAACAATACACAAGGTTATGGAGAGAAGTTAGAAGAATGGCATTGAGGTAGATGCTCATTGGAGAGCAGGTGCATATACAACAGGACAAATGGCCTCCTTCCACACTGTAACACCTCTGCAATCAGCAAGTTGTCTGCTTTATTCAAGGACATCATAAACGCACATTCCTATCATTCCCCCCATCCCACTGACCCCACTCCCCACACCCAAAATCGTCATCATTCCAGAGACTTTCTCATAAACCTTTGCTTCCACTCAAAGATCCACATAACTTTTCTGAAGTGTGGTGTCCATACTGGACTCTATCTGGGATGTAACCTTGGCTTTATAAGGTTCGTTATAACTGCTCTGCTTTTGCATTCATGCTCTTATTTATGAAGCCAAGATCCCATATGCTTTGAGATAACAAGGTGTAGAGCTGGATGAACACAGCAGGCCAAGCAGCATCAGAGGAGCAGGAAAGCTGATGTTTCTTCTTCAGAATTCTGAATTCTGATCTCTGAAGAAGGGTCCAGACCTGAAACGTCAGCTTTCCTGCTCCTCTGATGCTGCTTGACCTGCTGTGTTCATCCAGCTCTACACCTTGTTATCTCAGATTCTCCAGCATCAGCAGTTCCTACTATCCCATATGTTTTGCTAGCTCCTCTCTGAACATAATCAATTATATTCAAAGAGCAATGCACATCGCTCCCAAGCTCGCTCTGTTCTTGCACACTCTTTAGAATTGTGTTAATGAGTCTACATTGTCTCTCCCACCTCTTCTGCCAAAATGCTTCACCTCACAATCTCTTTAAATAATTTACATTAAACAAAGAAATCAGTGGTCACATCACCCCTGTGGAACTCCAGTCTGAAAGAATAATCAATCATGACTGTCCTTTTCCTGTCCTTAAGCCAAATTTTCCTTACCCATTTGTGCACTGGCCTATCTAATCCATAAGCCTCAATTCTGTTAAAAAGCCTTATAAGTAGTATTTTGTCAAACATTTTGTTAAAAACCATATAAACACATGTAAATCCCTTCATTAACCTGCTCTGCTACTCCAAAAAATTCAATTAGATTAGTGAAGCATGATCTGCCCTTTACAAATCTGCGCTGGCTATTAATCACATTCAGTTCAATTCAATTAACTCATCTTCTGAGTGCCTGCAGAATTCCTCCCCCTCACCCCAATTCAGATTCCAAAGCATTACCTACACAAGACTATATGGCCTGTAGTTACAAGGAAGTAATGATTTACACTTAAAAGATAAAAGTAGAGAAATCTTGGAAATAACCAACAGGTCCTCAGCATCTGAAGAGGCAAAAGAAAGTCAATCTAAGAACGGACTTGAATCCAAAACCTTCACCCACCTTTTTACAGACACTGACAGACTTTGTTCCACTTCCATACTGCCAGCACACTTTTGAAGTTCACAGCATGGTTTACTTACAAAGTAATTTTCAAATCATTCTGCAGGAGTACACTGTTTTACATAGTTACACATTGTATTTATTGGCACTGTTGATTCATGTTCCTTAAATTGTAGGGCATATAAAGCTGTACACCTTAAATAAACAAAGCATAATATGGTTGGAAGGTCTACATGCAGTGGCGTAAGGCACTGCACAAATTAAAATTCATGAAAAGTTACAACAAGCAATTTGAACATAGCAAAACTGAGGAATAAATGTGGGCTAAGCCATTGAAGAATCCCATGCTCTTTCTCAAATACTATCATGCACCTGAATAGACAGGTGGGATCTCAATTAATGTTACATACAAGTAACACCTCAAACGGCCAATTAGCATTGACCTTGACATAAAATGACAAAAAGAGTCAAGT